TTTGCAATTTATTTCTTTAAATTTAATATATGCTGGATTTTTGCGATCTTAATATTTTTTTATAAAGTAAATCGCGCAAAATCTTGCATCAAAATAAAATCGGATTGAATATCTGAAAAAAAAAAAACAAGAATGTAGGCATGGGTGCATTCGCGCATAGATTTCTGCATTACCGGTCATGATTTTTTGCAAGGACAAAGCTCGAAGTGCCTGTTGCAGATGGCGGTAGGAAATGGGGCATGGCAAAATAACACACACATACACATCGCGTGTTTTATAATATTTAATACAACTACACCATGTGTGTGTAATAGGGGTTCGATATCTCGGATGCTGCGTTTTTATCGTTCTTACAACGAGCGAATTTACGATGTGTAACTTCACTGTCGAAAAATATATTTCTCGGTATTTTTTATTAATTAAATACGGCTTTGCAAATATGACGGATTCGATGTTAAACATTTTACGCATCGCCGTGAATCGATAATTGATACATGATTTAATTACTGCACGGCAACATGAGATTAAAATTTCATGTTGTGCAAAAGTGCAATTTTATCAATTATAGACAGTTGGTTGTAGTCTGTTATACAAAAAAGATGTGCATAAAATTAATCTACACCGACATTTGGCTGTTACACGCATCTGTCATTGCTCCGATCGTCTTAATGATTATGCCACACAACCTTTATATATAGATATATATATATGTGATTTCATATTGACTCAAAAAAAAAAATCAAAAGAATTTTTTTTAATATCAAAGCATTACGTCACATTCCCATACATGTCGTATATATATATATATACGACATTAATGATCTTTATAATAAATCGTTGTGCGCACAGTTATAGTGTAAGAACATTAAAAAGTAGCATCTAAGAATCGATGATAATTATTGATACGTCCATAAATCACATGTATTGACATAACAAGTATGCAATAAATATTAGTTAAAGCGATTATTGTATATAATTATTATATATTCACCGTATATATTCTCGAGTATTACACAATTGACAAAAGATCTCATATTGAAGCATCAGCTGGTTCAAATCTCCCAATCCCCTTAATATCCAATCTCTGGTCACGCGTACATATACGAATACAAAGAATCTAGCGTTCTGTCATTCCGTTCATTCCTGTTTCAAGTTGGAGTACGTTTCTTTTGCGCGAATTTGCGATGTACCGGTATTTAAATTCCAATAAAACAGTAATTTATCGGGTTTCGAAACGACATAATGCAATCGCAAAATCATCGAGTGCCTTCTCACTCCCCTGATTATCGATCCGAAGTCACCGCGATGAGAGGATCAATAAATCTCGCGACGAGGCGCGCGTCGCGATGCATATCCTGATACATCCCGTCTGAAAATTCTTGTTCGTTCTCTCTTTCCCTCTCGTTTCTCTCGGTTTCGGTCCACCGAAATCGGAGACCGACGTGAAATGCGTGCCTGCGTGTGCGTGCGTGTATGCGGCGGAGGCGGCTGCGCGCTCGCGAGCACGCTCCTACGTATGATACGTGTATGTGTGTGTGTGTATATCGGTTATATATGTATATATGTGTGTGCGCGCGCGGGTGTGCGCGCGCGGGTGTGCGCGCGCGGGTGTGCGCGTTAAGCGAAGGCCATGTCCGACAGACTGTACGGATGACTTTTGAAAAGGTAAACAGGCGAAGCATAAGACGATTCGCTCTACTCACGGTTTCTCGCCGGCGATCCCAGCCGCTCCCACACGATTTCCCCCGTCGTCGGTGTGTCTCGATGATTATTTGATTTTGCACAGCAACATTGTTGTACGTCCAGTACAAAAAAAAAACAGAGAGGGAAAAGGGAGAAAGGAGGAGAAGAGGAGAGAGAGAGAGAGAGAGAGAACGAGAGAGAGAGAGAGAGAGAGAACGA